TCCTCGCCTCCTTGGGCTTTCTTGTAGCCCTCGTCCGGCCCCGTCCTGCCCCTTCCTTGCGCCGTCGGTGGCAGCCCTGGCCTCCCTAGCATCTGTCGCCTCCCGTTGTCCGGCCCCCGCCCTTCCAAGACTGCGGGTTGCCTTGTTTTCGTCGTCGTCGTCGTCGTCGCCGTCGCCGTCGTCATCGTCGTCGTCGTGTCGTGTCGTGTCGTGTCGTGTCGTGTCGTGTCGTGTCGTGTCGTGATGGCCTTCCTTGGTTCCTTTGCCCTGGCTTCTCCGGCCTCCCTGATGCCCCAGGCCTCTGGCCTCCTTGGTTCTTGCCTCTCAGCCTTCTTGTTGTTGTCGTTGTTGTTTTTCCAGGTTCTCCTGCTCTGGCCTGCCCGGCCTCCTTGAGCCCGAGCCTCTGGCCTCTCTGCCCTGCCCCCCCTCCCTGCCCCTTCCGAGGTGTATCTCTGGCCTTTGACCCTGCCCGCTCCTGGGCTTCCCTGACGTCCTAGGCGTCAGCCCTGGCCTCCTTGCCTTCCTTGACCTTGTCCTCTCCCCCTTCTCCGTTGGATTTTTCTCTTGCATAGTTGTGTTCTGCAGTTCGGATGCCTTCATTCTCGTGGCTGTGGCCATAGTCGCCCTTCTCTCCCCTTGCGGAGCCCTTCAATTTCGTCGTCGTCGTCGTCGTCGTCGTCGTCGTCGGTCGTCGTCGTCGTTGCTTCCCTTCCACGCTTCTTCTTTCCCTCGCCACCCCCATGCGCACCGCTTGTTTTCGCAGTGTAGTCGTATCGTGCCGTCGTGCCGTGTCGTCGTGTCGCCGTGGCCTCCATCGCCCCTTGGCTTCCCTGGCCTCCCATGGTAGCCCTGGCATCCGGACCCCCCAGTCCTGCGTGATAGCCCAGGCCCCTCGCCTCCCAGGCCTTCTTGGCCTCCCCTTGCCCCCGCCCCCCTCCCCAGAGCTTCGGATTGCTTGACTTCCGTCGCCGTTGTGGCTCTCTGCCCTGGCTTCCCTGGCCTCCTCCCCTGTTTTCCTGCCCCCCCCAAGGGTTCGGATTCGGAGCTTCCTGACTCCCATGCAATTGACCCCACGCTTCTCCTTTCCCGCTCCGTTCCCTCTTGCAGAGCCAGGGCATGCGTGCCTCTTGTTTTATGTCGGGCTTGGGAAGATTCTCTCGGGTTTACGCCGCACCGCCGACTCCTTGGGAGTGTAGTGGGTGCCTGCCAGTGGGGGCCTCGTGTGGGCCTTGTGACGGGTTGCGGGTTTGATGCCGTTCGGATGGCTGATGCGGTCGCGTGGGAGGGGCGTCGGGAGTGTCATAAAGGCAATCTTGGAACCTGTTGGGGGCCTCCTGGCGGCGTCTGGAGGCCTTTTTGGGGTCTTTCGGCGCTCGCTAGGGCTCTTGGAAGCTTTTCGGGGACTCTTGGGGGCATCTTGGGGGTGGGAGCTCGAAATGTCCGCTCGGGCTCCCCCCTTCTGGGTCCGTCTTTGGGCCCTTTTGTGCCGTCTTGGAGCTCTCTTGGGGGCCTGTTGGCCTGTCTTGGGTCGATCTTGAAGGCAGCCTCGACCTGGGTGGGCCTCGTGAGAGCACAAGAGGCGAGTGCGACCAAACAAGTAGCTTTTCCTCAGGGAGTGGGACGGGTGTTGCTCCTTGAAGGCCTCTTGGAACGCCCCGTGGCGACTTCTTGGAACGTCTTGGGGGCTTCTGAGAGCTTGGGAAGATTTGAATGTTCTTGTCTTGTCGGCCGTTCGATAGCCCGAGAGGGCCTCAGAGGCCCTCCCAGGTCGCCCCCAAACGGGGTAAGAGGCTACGCGAGAGCCCCAAGAGGCTCCCATGAGGCCGCCAAGACGGCCCACGATGCCCCAAGCCGTCCCAAGAGGGCTCCAATATGGCCCAAGAGGGCTCAAAGACTGTCCAAGAACCCAATGCATGCCCGTAAGAGCGCCCTTGAGGCTCCCGTGAGGCCCCGAGGGGGTCCCCGAGAGGTCCCCAAGAGGCCCATAGGCTTGTACGATGCCTCTAGGAGGTTTCTGAGAGGCCCTACGACAGTACAAACCGCCAAGGGTCCCAATTGCTCCTGATAGCGGAACAAGCTTTTGAGGCCAAGGCTCCGAAGAGCTCAGGGTGACGGAAAACATTTGAGAAAAAACAGTGACGCAAACACCCTTCCTGGAGAGGGGGCGACATAATCGCATTATAGCTCAAGATCGCGCCACCAGCGTCGACAAGGCTCCTTGGAGCCCTCTCGGCGGTTCTCGGAGGGAACCTTGGACGTTTCCCACTTGCGACAAGTTGTATGGCTTCCATGTGCGTTTGATTGGTAAACGTTTCAGGTCTGTTTTTGTTCGCATGCTCCTCTTTAGGAATACATATGTGTATACGCACACACAAACATACGCATTAACCCATACATATACATATGTACACATGTATATCTATGTATGTACACACCTCTCTACATTTACATATATCTGGAATCGGCTCCCCGCCCCTGGGGGCGGGCCTTGGGAATCGGCTCCCCGCCCCTGGGGGCTGCCTTTTTTCAAAACTCTCCTCCCAGTTCAGTTTTTAGTCCCGGGGGGGGGGGCGACCCTTTTCGGGGCGCTTCGGGGCCGGACCCGCTTTTGGGAGGCCGCAAATCGGCCCCCAGAGCGATCAGACAGTCGATACGTCGGCCCAGGACGGCCCCGAGCCCAAGAAGCTTTCCAAACGGACCAAGGGACCCCCCAGAACGCCCAAGAAGGCTCCAAGAGGACCCCGACCAGTGCCCCTAGAAGCCCAGATTAGGAGGCTTCAAAGGCTACCCATACGCCCCCCGACGCTTCCGAAAGGGCCCCAATATTCTTAAGGGACCTTCAACAGGGAGTGTCCTCCTTCTCCCCACGTTTGCTAACACGTCTTTTGGGAGTATAGACTGTTGAGGACCAGTTATTCTTTGGGTCGCTTTCATCATTCACGCACCAGGGACAGTATACGGCCGTTCGCCACTGCGCAGTGGTTACACTGTGGCTACACTTAACATAAGAACCTCGAGGTGGCTGCGGATGTATCTGGCTGGTTGTGAGCCCCCATTTTAGTATTGGGCCATTTGTTCTACACACTTCGGTTTTATTTAACATGGTGGGGTCGCTGCTCATCTCCGAAATATTCAGGCGTGCGAACAGGAGGACAAGAAGAAGTGTCAACCCAAGACTCATCAACGAACAACCATTTGAAGATCCTGAAGCGTGCCGAAACACCATTCTCGGAACTTCGACGATACGAATCATTTTCAGTGTTGCCTCTTGACAACCCCGAGTCGTGCCAGAACACCATCCCTGGGACTCCAACGCCGCGAATCGACATAACCGTTGGGCTCTGAAAGTCCTGAATCGCTCCGAATCGCTGTCTCTGGTACGTTGACCATGGGAACCCGTGAAACTCTTGCAATTTCAGCAGACGAATGTGCGCGGCGCTAGGACGAGAGCCGCATTTGGAAATGGAACCGCCCTCCAACCGTGAAGCTCTTGCAGCTGTTTGAAACGCAAGCGCGCGGCGCTAAGGCGAGAACCACATTTTGAAAAGCACCCGCCCTCAACTCACGACTTTCTTGCGAGTTGTTAAAACCGATGTGCGCGGTGTTAAGGCGAGAGCTGCATGTTGAAAACGATCCGCCCTCAATCAGTGAAGCTTTTGCGAGTTTTTAAGACGAGTGTCCGCTGCGCTAGGGCGACAGCCACATTTTGGAAGCGGCCCGCTCCTTATCTGTGAAACAGTTGCCAATGTTTAAGCTTCAGGATCATGAGTGGTGCGGACGTGTCAGGCGAAACGCCTGGTCCGCCCTTCGGACTGGTCTCGGGGTGCGTCAGGGAGGAGGAGTTCTCTATAAGGAAAAGGACTCGAGGATGAGTGTGGGTAGGATGAGGACGAGGAGGACGAGGAGGACGAGGAGGAGACGGATGAGGAGGATGTAAAGGAGGAGGACGAGGAGGAAGGGGTCCTAGTTGAAGTGTAGGCGGAGTAGCAAGCAATGAGGAAGACAGGAGCACGTCCCAAACCATTCTGAGTAAATGGTAGAAACTATGAGAGGACGATGGCGATGACGATGATGATGCTGCTGCTGATGGTGATGATGATGATGATGATGATGCTGGTGATGCTGCTCATGCTACGGATGATGATGTCTATATATATGTATGTGTTGCTGCTTATGATGAGGATGAATGGTGCTAATGATGCTATTCATGATGATCATGACTATGATGTTCATGTAACTTGTGATGATGATGGTGATGGTGGTGATGATGCTATTGATGATGATTATGTTGATGGTGAGGATGATAATGAAGGTGACGGCGACGACGATGCTGATGCTGATGATGATGATGATGCTGTTGATGATGATGATGATGATGATGATGATGATGATGATGATGATGATGATGATGGTGATGCTGACCATGATTATGCTGCCTCTGACGACGATTATGTTGATGCTGCTGCTGCTGCTGCTAATGGTGATGGTGATGATATCGATGATGATGATGATGATGATGATGATGATGATGATGATGATGATGATGATGATGATGATGATGATGATGATGATGATGAGGAGGAGGAGGAGGAGGAGGAGGAGGAGGACGAGGAGGAGGAGGTGGAGTGGGAAGAGGAAGACGAGGGGGAGGAGGAACCAAATGGGTCAATCACTAAGCTACAACCTTCAAGGCAGGAGGAGCGGTACAAGAAGGCTGGGGAGCGAAGCGTTCATATGCGGAACTGTCAGCGAGCTGGCATCGTGCAGTGCCCGTGAGGTGGAGAGGGAGGGAGGCAGGGGAGACTCGAGTCGGGCGGAGACGGGCACTGGGGGTGTAACATCTCCTGGGTGGTCTTCAGGGTCGGCGATGGGGCCCTGTTCCTCGGAAGGGGCCTGAGACCCCCTTGGGTGGGCCCTGCATGTCCAGGCTTTCGATGGCGTCCGTGCCTCGGGCGCGCAGGTGCTGCGCTTCCAGACTCGGGGGCGCAGGGGGCCTTCGCAGTTTCGGCTCAGTCCGCGCAGCCCCAGCCATCTGCTCGTCGCCCCCCTCCCCCACCGCTGCGCTGCACACCCCGAGCGTGAAGTCGGGCGTGTCGCTCTACAGGAGGAATATCCAGCAAGCGTCCAACAGTGGTCTGGGGACGATGGTGTGACCCACTCTGGACATCTTAGTTTCGACTGTTTTCTATTTCTCGTCCAAAATCCGCCTGTATGGGGGACGTGCCCGACCTCACCCCAGCGGGCAGATCGGCCCGCGCCGCGGGATGGCCTCTGCCGCCGCTGGGGGGGCGCCGGCCCCGCGAGGCCGGCCCCCCTCGGATGTAGGCGACGAGGAGTCCGAGGTGCCAGCGGCGAGGGTGCTCTCCGCTCCCGCCTCGACTGGGTCCGGGGCAGCGTCCCCGGCGACGGCGGCTGCGGTCAGGAGGAGCCGCACGAAGCAGCGCCTGGCGGAGATGTTGGGCTCGTCGGCGGTCTTTCCAACCTCCACGGGGGCAGCTCCCTCGGGCCCGCCGGGCCGCGCGTGCGGCGTCTTGAGCACGGAGCCTGTAGCCTCCCAGGACATGGCGGCGGTGCCTGTGCGCAAGGCGATTTCAGGGCCTGCGCCATCCGACCCGGCGGCTGCCAGGAGCTTTCGTGCGAAGGGCCGTATCGCCCGCTTACTCGAGCAAGACGCAGAAGGCCCTAGGTACGTGTGCGGCCTTCGGCTTGAGTTAGATCTGATGGAGCGGTCAAGCCGCATCGGTAGCAAGAACTCTGTGGGCGACATGAGTACAGAAGGCGACGACGAAATCAGCATGTCACGCACCTGGAGCAAAGGCAGCGCTGGAGAGGACAACATGTCACGTGTATGGAGCAAAGGTAGCACTGGAGAGGATAACATGTCACGCACCTGGAGCAAAAACAGTGCGATTCCGTTCTTCGGCCGCAGCCCTACCTGGTCTGTAGCATCAGACCCCTCACCCAGAGCCGCACCCGAGGGACTGAACAGGTTTGGAATGCCGTTGGACATGGTGACTGAGAGTGAGAGCCCGACGGCTTCCAACGACCTGAGTGAGTCATTCCGTGGGCCGTTCGGCCAGGGTGCCCTGGCGCCAGGCTTGATGAATGTCGGGCAGGTGCGGGCCAGTGAGAGCCCGACGGCTTCCAACGACCTGAGTGAGTCATTCCGTGGGCCGTTCGGCCAGGGTGCCCTGGCGCCAGGCTTGATGAATGTCGGGCAGGTGCGGGCCAGTGAGAGCCCGACGGCTTCCAACGACCTGAGCGAGTCATTCCGTGGGTCGTTCGGCCAGGATGCTCCCGCGCCAGGCCTGATGCTGGTCGGGCAGGTGCGGGCCGAGGCACTGGTGTCGCCACCCTGGACGCACGCCGTATGGCAAGACCGCCGACCCAGCAGCACGTTCGCGCTGTCGTCGCAGCCCGAGCTCTGCGTTTACGGCTGCCCGCCGCCAGCCGCCAGACCCACAGGGTGCGGTGGCCTCGCGAGTCAGCAGCAGACAAGGCAGGGGTTCTGGTGGGCCGACGTCTCACCCACGCCGCCGCCGAGCCAGGAGCCGGATGTTGTCAGAGGTGGCCCTGGCCCAAGGTGACCCCAGCTCCTCCGAGGTTGCCCTGGTGGCCTTCAGAGCACCGTGAGGGCCGCAGGGGCCCGAGCAGTGGCGCGAAGACTTGAGGGCACCTTGGGCCAGGAACGCCTCTGGCAATCTCCTTCGGATTGGGGAAACGTGAGGCTCGAGTTTGCTGGAGCTTGGGTTTCCCGACGCTTTTTGACGGGTCCGTCTTTGAATTTTTGCGGTCCGCATTTCGTGGGATGCTTGCAGCGGGAGCTCGCGCCACACTTCAGGCTGGGCCGTCGCCACTTTTCTTACGGCCCCGTGGGGCCAACCCGAGTGCCCCGAGCTCGAGCCTTACTCCAGGGCAGCGGCAGGGGGGGAACGGCTCAGTGGGGGACGAGTCTACCCTCGACCGCCCATGGATCGCCGATAGGGGCCCGATCGCCCAGCCCGCCCATGAAGGGTCGGATCAGCCATTGGCGGCCCATCGCCGATCCGTCGGCACCCTGAGCTCGTGTCAGGTCGGGCATGTCCTTCTGCAGGCGGGTGTTGGAAGAGCGACACAGAATAGTGTGCGAGTTTGGAACTCGCAGGAGTGGGCGCAGGGGGGAGGAAAGGTTGAGGGCGCTCTTTCCCTCGTTCGGGTGCTTGAGCCAAACAGTCACGGACACGATAGCTTGCACCGTGCTGCTCTACTATGTTTTGCATTGGGCTTCAATCGCTACATATCTAGGTTCTGTAGTTCACCACGCCTCCTCAGAGCGCGGTGCCGGGCAGCCACCGTGCATTGCCTAACTAATCTATTACACGAGCCTGAATCCTGGGCGCGGGGTACTTTCTGTCAGCCCAGGCCGCGGCCTCAAAAGCCTTATCGCTTGGAGCGTCCTCCTCCTCCTCCTCGCGCCGTCGCAGGTGGCCGCGGGCTTCCACCTGCTTCTAGACCTTGCGCTGTCGGCGCGCCCAGTCCTAGAGGCGCACCAGCCCCCAGTTTAGAAGAGCGACGAGCATGTAGTTGAGGAGCCTGGTATCCTCGCACTGCGGCTTCACCGCACACGTCAGTTCCTCCTGCGCCTCCGGGGCGGCCTGCGTTGCAGGGGCCGCTCCGAAGGCCACCCATGCCGCCAATAACCGGCGGCATGTAGGCTTCGCCAGGGGGAGCAGCTTCATGAGCTCCTGGTGCCTCTTCGGCTCCAGTGCCTTCGTCCCCAAGTCGGCGATGTTGGTCTCGCCGGGGATCTTCTTCAGGATGACTTGCTTCTCCCAGACGGCGTCCTGGACCCAGAGCCATCGCGTCGCGATATGGCGGGTCTTCCCCACGCCGCTCCTAGAGCTGATGCCGACGGCGGCGCTGGCATCGCTGCCGACGCGACCGTGCCGCTCCGGCACCACGACGATCCGCGATCTCTTTGCAGAGGCTCTGGGTCCTGATGTGATGATGCCCCGGGCCGCACCGTCGACGATGCCGTAAAGCTCGGCCTCCGCGCCGGAGAGGGCCTGTGACGGCCCAGGACTCGATGAAATGCGAGCCCACGAGCTCGCAGCCTGCGTGGGTCGAGCAACGGTCCAGCTCCTCGGCCCAGTTGCTGTCTCTGGCTCGTGCTCGAAGACGAGCGCCAAGAACGGGCAGCCTGCGAGGTACCGCGCGCAGCGGTCCAGCCTTGCGCTGCCTAGCCTGCGAGGCGTGGACATCGGCTCGCCCAGCTCCTTGGCTGAGTACTGGATGTCGAAGCGCCCGGACGACACGTGGAGCACACGACCAGTGTCGCTGCGATGCTGGGTCTGCGCCTCGCCGTCGAGCTCGTCCAGGGTCGCCGGGTCGTCCCTGCCGATTTGCTTGCTGCAGGGGCTCCCCTGGGGCTTCGCCCTGAGCTTGCCCGTGCTCTCCAGTAACATCACGACGTGTTTCAGGTCCTCGTTCCTTTCGTAGCCAAGCCTGGGGCAAGTAGCAGATGTAACGCTTAAGGTAACGACCCATCAAGCTCCAGCCATGCCCGACACGAGGGAGGACCTTGATGTTGCAGAGCGGGCTGATCATGGCGTCAAGGTGGTCGATGCCCTCGCTCTCCGCCTCGGCTATGATATCATCGCCCCACAGACCGGCCACAGAGTCGTACCGCCTCGAGTAGAAGATCTGGCGGCTGGTCTTCAATGCCTTGTATCCGCACTGCTCGAAGACCTTCACCAGGAACTCGAGGAACAACTGGGACGCACGGCGTGTGCCATACATCGCCTTCACCATCTGCCGCACCATCCCTGGGGCCTCCTCGCCCCTAGGCGGGATTACCGTGATCGGCTCGTCCAGCGGCAAGTCGGCTGGCCAGAACGCTGTGACGATGTCGTAGAGCCCCAGCACCCTGGTCCAGTCGTTGGTACCAGGACGTCTTATAGAACCAGCTCGTGAGGCGATCAACTTGACGACCTTCAACGGTGGCGTTGCCGTGTACGTGCCCAGCCGGTCGTACACGTTGAACTCCATGGCCACACATCGCGTCCAGACGGTGGTCTCACCGTCCTGCACAGGCTTCCCGTCGAGCCACAGGCTGCGCACCTTCTTACCCCTGGCGTCCTTCATCGGCACCTGTCCAGCATGCTCTGTTGCTCCCGTGCGCGGCCCGCGCGCACGAGCTCGGGGTCGAGCACCTCGCCGGTCTTGTGGTCCTTGACGTCCTGCGTGCCGACGTCTGGCGTCGCCACGTGGGCCGCCGGCGTTACGATGCTCCCGGCCTCCGCAAGGGGCGGCTGGCCGCACGCATGCAGAGCGCCGATCACGCGCTCCGCCTTGAAGATGCGGGCCCGCTGGCATCAGCGCCAGCACTCTCGCAGGGCTCGACCTTCTCCTGGAAGCTCGCGCTTCGCCGCGATGCTCGCAGCCTCCATCTCCGCCTCCATGGCGGGGCCACGGCCTTCCAGGGCCGACCGTGGTGGAGCGGCAGGGGCCGCATCCTCCGCAGGCGCTGCCATCTCGGCGTCGGGCGCGGCTCCAGCACGTGCGGGGAGCCCTGGAGGGGCTTCGGGTTGAGGTCCGCCTGCCGCGGGCTGCGGGGCCTCCGCGGAAGCCGCCGGCGCTGCGGCACTGCTGCTTGCCAATGCCTCATCCTCCTTCCTCCAGATCTCCAGGAAGCGAGCCTTGCAGGCGTCGCTGTGTCCCGTCGTGCGCCCGGTGCAGCCTGGGCATTCCGGGGTGAGGCCGTACTTGTCGAGGTAGGCCTTCGTGATGGATGCACCGTTTCGGCCGGGCCGCTGGGGTCTGGGCGCCCAGACGCGGAAGCCACGGGGTGCAGAGCACCTTATGCAGCATCTTGTTGTTCCACCGCTTGCCCTCGGCCTTGCGGCGGACAGACCTGGCCAGGCGCACTTCGTTGCCCAGCACGATGATGTGTTCGTCGGTCGTCCAGCTCTTGCCCAACCAGATGCACGTGGTCTGGCGCTCGTCCAACGACGAGAGACGGCAGGCATCGGGAGTCCGAAGAGGGCAGTCTTGCCGTTGCATGGCCCGCCCTTCAGCCTCTCGTAGCCCGTCCGGCCGCCCGTGCGCACGCGGGGCACGCAGATGCACCAGCCGCAGTGCCGCACAAGCCAGGGCACCAGCGGGTGACCAGCGTGAAGCTCGACCTCGGCCACATCCCGCAGGAGCAGCCCAGTGGTCCTCCGCAGGTCCTTCACCTCCTCGTTCCTGTCCTCCACGGCGCCCGTGGGATTGGGCGAGGGCCGGGGCGTACTCTCCACAAAATTGTGGGGCCCGCACGGCAGATGCGGATCGCTTCCGCCAGGGCCTCTGTGGCGGGCTCGCCGTCGACCCTCGAGACTGTGGCCTTCCTACCCCAGTGCCCGAGGTACTCAATGACTTTGCGGAGCGCGCACTGGATGGGGCCCTTCTCGCCCACCACCAGCGCCAGCACCATCCCGAGTTCCTGGTGGTACACGGTCAGGGTCGCCACCATGTCGGATGGGAGGTCGGTCACGAACGTGTGCTCCATCATCACGATCGGCTTCAGAGGCATCGTAGCGGACATGCGCGTCCGATGGTGAGGATCGTCAGGGCCGCAGCTCACGGGCAGCAGCTGCACCGTGACCTAAACGGGATGTGGGTCAAGTAGTGCTCCTCCCCGTGATCCGAGGGGCCGATGGGGACCTTCACGGGGCGGTGCGGCTTCGCCTCCTCAGAGGCGTCCAAGGGAGCAGGAACGCGTCGTAGCGCCTCCCTCGGGGCCGCCGGAGGCGCAGGGGCCTCTGCAGGCACAGCGTCCGCCGCCGCGGGGCCAACCGCAGGCGCAGGCCGCACCTCTTCCGCAGTCGCGGGCTCATCCGCAGACGAGGGGGAGGAGGAGTAGGAGGAGGAGGAGGAGGAGGAGGAGGAGGAGGAGGAGGAGGAGGAGGAAGAGGAGGAGGAGGAGGAGGAGGGATCTCCTACCTCGATGGCCATTGGGGCGCGCGCGGCACGGATCCCCTGGGCCTGCCGGCGAAGCCTCGACCACGGCACGTCCGACTGCATGACAAGGTCGACGCAGCCTCCACGAGAGGGTCTATCCGAAGGGCTTGGGCGACCCGTCCTCCTCCTCTTCCTCCTCCATCTCCTCCTCCATGTCCTCCTCCCCCTCCCCCTCCTCCACCTCGGGTCGCCTATGGCCCCGGGGGAAGCCGTGCAGCCTGCACTAGCTGTGTGTAGCATCTCACGCTCCGGAGCGATGACGACACTCGCCCCTCCACGTCGCAGGGCGGAGGCCGAGGGGATCAGGCAGTTGACGTTACGTGATGGCCGGCTCCTCCCCGCTGTCCAGCACGTAGGTGATGTTCTTGGTGCCGTAGTTTATGATGGGCCCACTCGTGGCACTCACCACAGGGCGCATATCCCTACGAGGAGTCGATATCGGGACATCAGGGATGATCGTTTGTCAAACTTAATTGATCCGTGCTCGTGGGGTGTCTTGGGGGCCGGGTCGGGGGATGGTATGATACCTCCTCTCTTCCTCGACGGGACGCTCAAGCCTTTTGTGTTCAGGCCGCTCGCGGGGTGGGCTGCAGCCAGCCCACACTGTACGTGCTGCTACCCCGCGAGCGGCTGCTCGCGCAAGGCTTCCACACCACGTGTCGTCGGGCCCTCGCCATAGGGCTCGCTTTCTCTTTCTTGGGTGACACAGGGCTGCTGGAGTGGGCCCTCGAGTCGCCCATCCTGGCCGGCAACGCGAGTGACCCTCTCTCGCGCTACGAGCGCATCTCCCCGAGGCTGAGCTTCACTGAGTACGATGGCCTGTCTATGAGCTCGGAGCACAGATGGAGTCGGATGTACCGCAATACAGGCGGAGGCCAGGGCGAAGTCGTGCTGATGTTGATGAGGCCCTATCCGAAGAAGAAGGGCGACATGAGGTGGATCTATGTTAGGCCAGTCCGAAGTTTGGGCTCCGTCGGCTGCAGGGATCGGTCGAGGATCACCGCCAAGAGACAACCGAACACCACCTACGCCCACTTCCCCGCCCTGTCCGCCAAGGAGAAAACGGCGGCGATCGGAGCGGGCACCGAGAAGCAGCTCAGTATGGACTTTTGCGCTGCACGCTGGCGCTCATGGGGTTCTATGCTGGGATAGGCCCGCAGTGCTGCGGTTGTTGTGTGGGCGACGTCGTCGTGAGGCACCAGCGGAGGCCTCATCTGTTTCGCCTGGAGAGCCGCGCTGTACTTCAGGGCCTGGGATTGGGCCAAATGGACGGTGGAGAAGCTAGACGACACGCGCAAATTCCTGATGGAGCTGGACGACTTCGGGGCCTACTTGTACGACCTCTATCAGGACGGTCGGCTAGAATTGCCGATGTTGCTCCTGTCCTTCCTGATGGTTTTCACCCCCGTGCTCTGGAGTTGGTGCTGCCGCCGTGGCCTACCCAGGTTTGGTGGCGCCAGCCCTCCAGGGAGCGACGTGGACAGCGATGGGGAGGCCGGGCAGTCGGTTCACGAATCGGACTCGGAGTCGGAGGGAAGCAAGGAGGTCTCGGAGATGATGAAGATGATGCAGGACCTGATGGAGGAGATGCACCGCGATCGTCGAGACCGTCGCCGCTCGGAGCTGGAAACCGAGGGAATTTCGGCTCGCGGCGGGGGAGACAGTCCTCGCCGCTCAGATGGGTCATCTGCATGGTGTCCTGGGTCGAGCGCGGGCAGCTGGGGGCGCATCCCATCTCCTGCCGACATGGGCTTGCACGTCGACCGCATGATGGACCGCCTGAACCAGTTCGAGAGGATCATCCAGGCGGACCGCGCGTCAGGAGCGCCGCGCGGTCGTCGACCAGACGTCGACGGCAGCGACGGCGGGATCAACAGCAGCCCCGGCCATCAATTTGGACGAGTTCTCGATGGAGGAGGTTGAGGTGAACATCGGGCCGCTGCGCGAGTCCTTGAAGGATCCCAGGGTGCGCCTGATAGAGGGTTTGACGAAGCTGAAGTCGGCCCCGACGTTCGAGCGCCCCCCCCCGGGGCTGACGGCCCGCGTCGCCCCCGGCCCTCCAGTCCAGACCTGCGGCAAGTATGGCAGCATGGGTAAGTTCGCGACGGACTGGGTCAAGCAGAAGGAGCTCTATAATAATCACATCGGTTACGAGATGCTCTTACACTGCATGACCCTGGATCGCATGCTGGAGGCCTCCCCCGACTTCATCGCGACAGCTGGCTGCGAGATCCTGTGTTCGACGGTCTATGCGCTGAAGCGGGCGTTCAAGGATGTGCGCGCGATGTCCGACTGGAAGCAGCCCCGCGGTGCATCGGCCAACAAGTGAAAGGCGAAGGTGCATTGGGACCTGGCGAACGAGATGGACTGGCGCTCCTCTTCCGAGCGTCGAGAAGGATCTCACCGCGCGGTTGCAGCAGAAGGCGCTGTTCCAGAAGTACCTGCACGAGGCAGGCTCGGAGGAGAACTGACGGTTCTCTACGTGGACGTTTTCGCCGAAGCCGAGCTCTCTTGGCGCTGGGCGTGGGTGCTGGCGCTTCGGCGCTCCGTCTGCTTCGACAGCGGGCGCGCGCGGGCAAAACCTAGTCTCAACGATCTTGGCGGAGTGGCTTGGTTTCTTGGCGCCTTCGAGCTGCTGGCGCCCCGTCGACCTCGTGGTGCCTGGTGGCTCGCATCTTTCTCTTCAGCTACACTACCTTGGCCATGGCGACGTCTGGCGCAGTTCCGCCACCAGAGGCTCGACCTCGCGACCGCGATCTTTTGCCGGATATGCCGCTGCTCCGTTGGGATGTCGTGGCCAACCGCATGGAGTCCACCCCCCCATGGCACCGTCAAGAAGGTGAGGTCTCTGACCAACGGGCTCATTCGTGTCTTGCACTCCCTCTCGCGGGGGGCGTTGGGATCGGTGGCTGGGCTTGGGCCTGCGGCTCCGCGGGGGCGCTCTACCTCGCTCCAGTAGAGGACGGCCTTGGAGCCTCTGGATTCGTGGACCTCCTGGCAGGGCCACATCCACGACGTCGACGTGGACCTCGGCGCTGCCGTCGAGCGCGTCCTCGCTGGCCAGGCCTCGCCGTGGGTGGGCGAGGGGGTCACCGAGTCCCTGGGCGTGGATTCGAAGGGTCACCGCGTGCTGCCGAAAAGCGCGATATGCTCAATCGGCGTGGACGAACTAGCGCTGCCTGCGCCTGGGGCCGTCCCCGTCAAGCTGATCGACATTTGTCCTCTTGCGGTCGAGTATTTCTCGGACACGGAGGGCCGCGTGCTGAGACGACCCGGTTCTGTTTTGATGCGAGAGTTGGAGAGCCAGGTCGTCTACCGGGGCCCCGCGTTGAAGTCTCGTGGGGCTCGCTTGCGCCTGGCGGAGCGACTCTGGAGAGGCGGCGTGCTTACCTTCACCAAGGAGAAGAAGGAGTCGGTGTCGCTCTTCGGGGTCATCAAGTAGTGCGTGGAGTCGGAGGCGGACAGCGACCTGGTCCTGCAGCGGCATGTGCGCGCGATTTGGGACGAGCGACGGGCCAACCTCCGCTGGGGAAGCCCCGCCTCATTCACGAACCTGGACCTCTCCAATATTGAGGCGGAGGGGCGCGTCTACTCGGCGGTCGGCGACATGCCAGACATGTTCTACACATTGGAGAGGCCCCCGCAGTGTTGGACCTATTTCTGCTTGGGCGAAGTTGGCGTGGACGAGTTCGTGCTCTACATGGCCGAGTGGGCAGTCGACGTCGAGGCACCAGCCGACTCGGGCTTCCTGGCTCTGGAGGTGCTTGTCATGGGGTGGTCGTGGGCGCCATTCCTGGCGCACTCCGCCCTGCAGGCGTGCGTGGAGACGGCTCTCGGCGAAGGCTCGGTTCGCGCTCGCATGGTGTATGGGCCCCCGACGCCTCAAATCCACGGCGAGGCTGGTGGCTGCGAGGCGCTCAATTGGGGCTACATGGACGACTGCGGCGTGATGGCGAGCAGCACGAGCGCGAACGGCCCCGAGAAGGAACTGGTGTCGGACATGGCGGCGAAGGTCAAATCCTAGCTGGAGTCCGTGGGCCTCGCGGTCCACAGGGAAGAGGAGGGCGAGGGGCTCGAGTCGTCGGGGGCTGTCCTGAGGGGCCGTCCATATGTGATTAGGTCGTGCCCGTTGAAGACTTGTCGCCTGGCCTTCGTGACCCTCGCCTTGGTGGAGAGAGCCTGCTGGGCAGCGGCCGTGTTGGGGCGCCTCGTCGGGCTCTGGGCTTCGGCGGCAGTGTTCCAGCGAACAAGCCGTGCCATCTTCGACCAGGTCTACCACGAGATGCGACGCCCTTCGAGCCCCGCCGCTACATTCCGCCTGTCCGCCGAGGCGCGGGCCGAGCTTGCCGCTGCCGCCTACTGCGCCCCGCTCATGGCCACCTACCTGGAGTCGCCCTGGGCCCGCCAGGCCTTCATGACCGACTCCAGCGACGTGAGCTACGGGGTTGCCGTCACCCAGGCCAGAGTGGAGGATCTTCGCGCGGAGTCCAGATACTGCGAGCTGCGAGGCTGGACCTTCGCCGCCGAGGACCTCTACACCAACGCCGAGGGGGGCGCTTGGCAGGAGGGCTGCGACGGCTGCGCCCACGACGTCGACGAGTGGCCCAGGCCGTGGCTCCAGTCCTGCGGGGCCCGATCGGGCGTGTGTCCCGCTTCCTCTACCTCTTCGCGGGGTTTCGGCGGCCGGGGGACCTCGAGGAACACCTGCGGCGGCGCGCGGAGAGCGCTGGCATCCTCATTGAGGTTTGGTGCCTGGGCGCGATCATCGACCCGAAGCACGACCTTACCGACCCCGAGTTTCTGATCGTCATCGTGAGGCTCGTCGACAATGGCTACTTCCATGGGCCATGGGGTGTTGGCATCACCCCCGTGCTCGACCTGGAGCCGCGCCCGTTTTCGAGGTTATGGGCCCCGCCCTCTGCGCGCGCGTGCGGAGCCGTGGGGGCGCACAGACATCGGGCTGACCTCATGGGAGCGGCGGCGGCTCGAGCTGGGGACCAAGTCGCTCATGACGGCGCTGACGGTGATCCGCGCGGTCTGCGCGGCTGGTGGGGTTGGCCTGTTGGAGCACCCGTCCGACCCAGGGGAGCCACCCTACCCGTCGATCTGGGACCTCGTGGAATTGAAGGACCTCGTCAAGGATTTTGGAGGGTGGGTCAACTACCTGGACCAGTGCCGCTACGGCGCCCCCTCCATGAAGCCGACCTTGGTCGGCATCTTCGGCACATTCGACAGGAGTGGCGGGGGGGCCGCCGCTCGACTTTGCTTCGCCTGCCACCGCGAGGGACGCCATCGGGTTACGCTCGAAGGCCGAGAGAAGCCAGGAGGTCCAACCTTTCGGGCCGCTGCTGCGCAGGCCTATCAGCCCGAGTCTTGCAATGCCGTCAGCGAGGTCATTATCGAGGCTTTCCAGCACATGGAGGCGAAGAGGCTCGGGCCCGACGTCGAAGGCTCGCTGCGGTCGCCTGCGTCGGCGACGTTGGGGCCATCGCGACCTGGGAGATCGAGGGGGGATGTGCGACGAGGAGATCGGATCCGGGCGCCCCCGTTGTCCCACACCTGGCTTCCGCTGACGAGATGGAGGCCCCTCTATTTCGGCAAGTGGCGCGAGACCGGGCGCGCCAACATCAACGAGACGCGCGCCATCGTGGGCCTCTTGAGACACCTGGCCAGGTCCTCGAGGTCGTGGGGCCTCCGCGTCCACATCCTGACCGACAGTATGGTGGTCCTGGGCGCGCTTGCGAAGGGCCGATCGAGCGCCCCAGCGCTGCTGCGCCTGTGCCGTCAGGCGGCGGCCATCACCCTGGCGTTTCGCGTCTACGGCTCCTACCGCTACGTGTCATCCGAGGTGAACGTGGCGGACGGCCTGTCCCAGGGGGGCTTCCCAGGGGCGGCGCCCAACTCCGTGCGAGCACACCGCGACCGTGCGACACCAGCTGCTCCGCCAACGTCAGGGGAGGTGCCGCTGGGACACGAGCTGCGTGCCCTTGGTCAGGCTTGCGCGGGATATGCTGGTGGCTGACGCTTCCCATCTTCGACCTGGTGGGGCGCGCGTCGGCTGGCCGCGAGTCTCTGCGGCCCATGGGCACGACCCCGATGACCAAGATGGGGCCCCTTGGCATGGGGCAACTACGCGACGGACCCGAACGCTGGCTTGCTAGATGGTGGCTTCACGCGCTTGCTCACGCACTCAGTGGCTGACGCTACCGCCTCGCAGTGGGCCCCCAAGGTGCGGCAGTTCCTCAACTTCTGTATTCAGCGAAGCTTCCAGCTGACATCCGAGTCGGAGGTCGATCGGGCGCTGGCAGACTACATGGGCATCCAGTGCTACGGCGAGCGCAAGAGAGCGACCCTTGGCTCGGTGGTTCTGTTCGGCATGTTGGTGATCTGGCCTGAGCTTCGCAACAAGCTGCCCCTCGCCCTGAGATGCCTCAAGAGTTGGCAGAAGCTGGCTGGCACGAGCGAGGGTGGCCCACTTCCGGAGGAGGCCATCTACGCGATCGCCATTTACATGATCGAGCAGGGGCTCTACGTGGAGGCCGTTTGGACACTCACGCAGTACGACGTCTACGGCCGAGAGCAGGACATGGAGATGTTGAAGATCGCGGACGTCGTGTGGGACGGCCAGTGCAGGGCCCTGGCCTTTGGTGTCTCGAGCCGTGGCGAGGAAGTCAAGACAGGCACCAACCAGGGTGCCGTCATGCGGCGGAGCGTGGTCGCTAACCCAGTTTTGGGCTTGCGTGACTTCAGGACGGGCAAAGACGAGAAGCTCTTCGGCATCGATCAGATCCGTTTTTTCGGAAGCTCTGGCATCAGGCCTGCCGCGCGCTGGGCATGCCATGGGCGCCGCCCCCACATGGGATCCGCCTCTCGGGCCCCAGCGAGGACATTGCCCGAGGCCGCGCGTCGCTCGAGCAGGTCAGGCGTCGTGGGAGATGGAAGGCCATTTCCAGTGTCCAGCGCTACTCCAAGACGTTTGCCCTGACCCAGTTCCGCGCGAGGATGCCGGAGGTGGTCCCTGAGTCGGGCATGCGAGCGGTGCGGGACCTGAAGGCAGAGATCTTCCGAGCCCTGAGGAGGCGTCCACGCCCGCGCGGCAGCCTCCCCGAGGCCCTCGAGAATGCCATCAATAATAACCTAGCCAAGGACGTTGCCGCCGAGCAGATGAAGATCAAGAGCTCCAGGGCGCGCAGTTCCAAGAAGACCGACCAGACCGACGATGACGACCAAGACAGCCCTGGGGGCCTCTTTTCGGACGAGACGTTCGGTGAGGACACGGGCTGGTGGGCGGAGTGATGGGGGCACCCTTCGGGGTGGCTAGGGGGGCCATGCGAGGGCGCCCTAGGGGCGGTGGCCCACGGGCGCGGTCGTCACCCCGCAGTTCGGTGATCAGGCGTGGCGCCAGCGTGTGCAGCAGTGTGTCCTGGGCGCCTTTTTCTGCAGCTGCGCTGGGCGCCACGACAGATGTTGAGCTTTCCAGCGTCGGGGGCGCAAGTGGTGTTTGAGGGCGAAACAAACCTCGAGAGCCACCTGGCGCTGGCCAGGCAGTCGTCGCCATCTTCTCAGTTCTTGTTGCAGCGTCGGGGGCACAAGTGGTGGTTGAGGGCGAACTATTCCTCAAGAGCCACCCGACGCTGGCCGAGCATCGTCAACACATGATCAGTTCTTTTTGCAGCGTCGGGGGCACAAGTGGTGTTTCAGGGCGAGACATACCTCAAGAGCCACCCGACGCTGAGCTCAGGCTTGGTGCAGTTCTTTTTGGCCACGTGGAGTGGATTTCTTTTTTCAGGTTGTCGCAGCTTCCCGCCGCGCCCAGCCGTGCGAAGACAACGACGGCGTTGCCGGGCAAAGGGCGCGGGTATTGGAAGTTCGGGCTCACGTACGTGGCGCGTGAGCCGCGTGATGTACGAGTTTGCGATCGCCTGCTCCGTATATCCAGATATACACGGCCTATCGGGGCCCTCTCTGTGCTGCTGAAGAATAAAGGCGTGAATATCGGTGTCAGATTTCAGGTGCTTTGATTTAGTCTCTCATCTCTCGCTGGCCCCCGCCTTCCCCTTGAGCTTGTAGGATAATGATCGTTTGTCAATCTTAATTGATCCGTGCTCGTGGGGTGTCTTGGGGGCCGGGTCGGGGGAGGGCGTGATACCTCCTCTCTTCCTCGACGGGGCGCTCAAGCCTTCCCGCCGTGACCCGCCCGTTTTCACAAGCTCCCGTCACAGGTAGAGTTAAAGGATATTTGAGTCCTCCGAGTTCGGACTCAAAGGAATTTCGGGCTCACGTACGTGGCACGTGAGCCGCGTGATGTACGAGTTTGCCATTGCCTGCTTCGTATATAAAGATATACACGGCCTATCGGGGCCCTCTCTGTGCTGCAGGAGACTACAGGCGTGAATATCGGTGCCAGATTTCAGGTGCTTTGATTTAGTCTCTCAGCTCTCGCTGGCTTCCGCCTTCCCCTTGAGCCTGTAGGATAAGCATAGTCAACAGGGCATGCCACGACCCCCGACCCCGAGTCCAGCAGGGCGACTTTGACACCATCTGGGCCTACCGCAGCAATCATGCCGGCAGGATGGATCACGCGGATCGTAAGTGGATCGTCCACTGCTCGTCTGGAGATAAGCTGGATGTTTCGCCAGAGCCTTGAGGAAGAATTGCTAGTGGAACGGTTAGAGCTGGCGGCACTGGGCCTAGACCCATGACGACGGTGCCTGGGGGGTGAAGGGAGTGCATGCCGTGCGCCGCAGGCGCCCCCCCCCGAGCAGGGTGCCGCAATGGCTGGAAGAGCGTCGGATACGCCGCGTTCATCGGCATTGGCGCGCCTGGCGCTGGCAGGGCCAGCTGCGTGATGGCGCTGCTGCTTCCTGCTGCCCCTGCTGCTGCTCTTCCTACTCCTCCTCGGGCCTCCTCTGTCACCTGCTCCGGGTGGTGGCTTGCCGCTCGCGTCCACCTTCCCGGCCTTGATGTCGGCCGTGAGTTTCCTGCAGTCTTGCTTGATGTGGTTGGGCTTCCCGCAGTAGTGACACTCCTTGCCCGCGTTGGGGCTGGCGTTGCCCTTGGACTGGGCTTTGCCTTTGGAGTCCTTTTCTTTCCCCTTGGAGTCCTTTCCCTTGCCCTTGGAGGTCTTGCCCTTGCCGTCCCGGACGGCTCGGATGACCGTGGGGTCGTCGACGTCCTGGGTCCACGTCCGCTTGGCCACGGCGAAGTTCAGGATGTCAGCTTGCAGCTGCTGGAACGTGTCCAGACGGGCGGCGTGGAGGAGGAGGTGATCCCAGACTTTCACGTTTTGCATGCCGCCCACCAGCGTCGAGATCTTGACGTCCTGGCCCAGCACCTTCCCGCTATGCTCCTCGTAACGCCTGACGTCCGCTCGACGCTTTTGATTTCCTTTGCGAGGTCGCCGTTCGGATCTTAGCCGAACTCGCGGCGCAGAAGTGCATGCAGCACTGCGCTGTGGCGGACTCGCAACTCTGGCTCGTATTCCCAGCACAGCCGTCCCCAGGCCTCGGTGCCGTTGCCCTCCTCCACGTTGTGTAACAGGAGGTGAGCGTCGTCCGTCGTCGTCATCGCCAACACGTATTAGCGCACCTTGGCTGAGGACTGCCGTGGCGTCGTTGAGATCGTGACCGTCCACGACCTGGGCTCCCATCGCCTCCGCGCGCCTGAAGAGCTCCGCCATGTTGGCGAGCACAGCGCAGGCGAAGTTGAACCCCCGCCACGCCTCGCGACGACCCGAGAAGCTCGCCGGCTTCCCCAGGGCCCACGCGTCCATGGTCGCGCCGCCAGGGCGCTGCAGCAGCGGCTGCTGCTGCGGTGCCGCCGCGGGCGCCGCGCGGAGCTGCGCGAGCTCGGCCTGCGCCGCCTGTAGGTCTTGCTCCGCCCGCGCTGCTGCTGCCGCTGGAGCTCCTGCACCAGCTCCTGCTGCCTGGCCTCCGTGGCCTGCAGCCGCGGGGCCAACTCCTCCATCGTCTCCGCCGGCGCGACGCTCTCGAGCGCCGAACGAACGCCCGCCGCGCTCGCTGGGCATGCACTGCCGCAGACTGCGGGGTTGCCGCAGGCCGCGGGGCCGGACCAGGCGCGGGGCTAACCGCTGCCCAGTGGGCTTCCCATCGGCGTCACCCCAACATGCTAATATTATGTGTGCGTCGCCCCCGCAGGGGCGACGCGCGCACCGAGAAATCTGGAAGTATATGCGTCGTGGCGGGCGCTTTCTGGCCACACCGCTTGAGAAACGATGTGCTACAGCATGGGTATATTATATGTTCGGGTCGGACGCGCGCCTTCAAGGATAACATATAGTACTAGTATGTCCAAGTGCGGGGCGACCCTCTGCCTACGGGGAACCGCATATTCACACCGCAGGATCCGCTATCCCGCGCGAGTATGAAACACGCGGGAGTGAACGCAGCTGGGAGGAAAAGTTGAGGGCGCTCTCTCTCTCTCTCTCGCTCGCGTGCTTGAGCCGAACAGTCACGGACACGATAACCTGCACCGCGCTGCTCTATGATGTGTCGCATTGGGCTTCGATCGCTACATATCTGGGCTCTCCAGTTCATCAGATAGTCAAACACATAATCGAGCTTCGCCAGAAGAGCACAACGCATCGCCCCCAAACCGCTTTCTGACCGCTCTTGAACACTCCTCCCGTCGAGGGACATGCCCGACTTCAGGCTCGTGCCCCCCCTGTCTCGTTGCCCCTCACCTGATGGGCTTGTTTTTCCACCACCACCACCACCATAAGTTTGAGGGGGAGGGGTCCTCCTCCTCCTCCTCCTCCTCCTCCTCCTCCTCCACCTCCTCCCCCCTTTCAACTAACGGTTGTGGTGGTGGAAAACAGGCCCATCATCACCTGCGCCTCCCCGACAGGACTGCGGCCACGGGCCCGTCGCGCCAGCCTCCTGCGGCGCCTCCCGCCCGCCGCGCGGCCCCGCGGCCCCGGCCCCGCCGGGGGTGCGCCCGCCGCGGCCCCCGGCGGTGCTCCAGGCCTCGGCGCGGCCCTGCGGGCCCTGCTGCGAGCCGCCGGCGCCGCTCAGCGCCGCGAGGTCCGCGCCGGCGGCGGCAAGCGCGAGGGGGAGCAGGAACCGAAAGAGCGAGCACGGCATAGACACGAACTCGGTGAACGTTTTTAATTAGGCATTGTTTTGCCGATCGCCCCCCCCCGCCCCCCTCCCCCCCCCCTGGAGTAGATCTTGGCTGTTTTTGGCGCCTGTTTCGAGCAGGTGGAGACTCTTCCGTAGGACGCACTGTTGCAAACAGTCTCGCTGAGCAGGGGTCTGGAGCCAGACCCCCCCCCTTCCCCCCCCTTCCGCCCAAAGTCGAAACGCCCAATAAGAAAACGTTCACGAGTTCTGCGCGGATTTTTCGGATCGGCGCCTAGGTCCCCCTCTGGTGGCGCCTCCAGCGCCGCCCCCTGGCGCGCTCCGCTTGCCATGGAGGGGGTCTGGCGCCGACCCAAGGAGTTCGTGCAGACCCCCGGCAGTTTATGTTTATATTCTTTTATTCCGCGAAGGAAGGCGTGCAATGACCAGCATCCCCCGAGCGAGCAGAGGCAGCGGCAGCCGCAGCAGGCGGCGGCGCAGTCGCAGAAGCGCGAGGAGGCGCGGCAGCAGCAGCAGCAGCAGAAGCAGCAGCAGCCGACTCTGGCGGCCGTCGCGGGGGTCGCACAGCGCCCGGCCGGCGAGGAAGGCAGCGCTGGCACGATGCGCGATCAGTGCTGCGCTCGGAGGTGTACTTGACTATCGGTCGTGGCTCGATCGCAGCTGAATCGATCGGTTGGCTCAGGGCAATCGGAGGGTTATCTCGACAGGCTGTGTACGTTTCAGCAGGAGTCGGGCCTTGTGGATCAACTTCGGGATCAGGCCTGTCACCAGCATGGATCAGGTGTGTGCTGCTAAGGCTTCGTGTGCTCAAGGACCAGGAGCGAAATTGTGTGATTCTGGCGCGCAGGATTCAGTACCTCGGCTTCTCGGCCTCGACTCAGCTCGAGAATCACTTCAAGGCTTTCGGACCAGTGAAGGATGCTGGATGGTGGGTCAAATTGCCACATGCTTGCGAGTAAAGGTTGAAGGAAGTTCCTCCCCTGCCGCCTGCCCCCCTTCCTGCTTAGGTGGATGGGCGGCTGGCCGGATGATTGGATTGACCAGTTGGTTAGTTTGTTTGCTGGTTGGATGCTTGCCTCGCTGGTTGGATGGGGGGGACTGGCTGGTTCAACGGTCGGCCGGTGGATCGTTGGGCTGGTTTACCACATTCAGGAAGAAGTGGGGCGAAAAGGGGAAGAGATGGGACCCAGGGAAACAAGAAGTGGCATAAACATAAAACTCGGAGGTCCGCGCGGATTTCTCGGATCCGCGCTGGACCCCCCTCCCTGGCCCGTGGAGCGCGCCAGGGGCGGCGCCGGAGGCGCCGCTGGGGGGCCCCAGTGCCGATCCGAGAAATCCGCGCGGACCTCCGAGTTTTTATGTTTCTGCCACTTTTTGTTCCCCTAGGACCAGAGGAGGGAAGCAGACGATGGAGGGGAAGGGAATGGGGGGGAGGCCAGGAGAGGGCCGCGGACCGGCGGAGAGGAGGGGTGCAAGTGGCAAGGTTGCCGGGGCAGACGGGGAGGACCGTGGGAGGCGAGGGAGCCAGACGGAGGGATCGGGACTGGAGGACGGCAGAGGGCGGGGGGAGGGGGGGGGGGGCAAGGGGAGGGGAGGGGGAGGCGAGCGAGGAAGGGAGGGGAGGGGGGTTGGACCAGGGGAATGGGGCGGGAGGAAGGGAGGGGAGGGTGGAGGAAGGGAGGGGAGGGGAGGCGAGCGAGGAAGGGAGGGGAGGGGACCAGCGGACCCCGGCTCTGGAGTCGCAGATCGATGGCCTGTTGCCGGGGGCTATATTTGCGTGGTCGCGTCGCGAGGCGGCCCCAGCGGGCGCCGAGAGCGGCAGCCGAGGCCGACGAGGGCCTCGGGAGGCGCCCCCCTGAGGGCCTCAGGGGGCTCCGTCCAGGTTGAACACGACGGCGGATCAATCTCATCGATATGTCGCGTGGATTTCGGCAGCAGGGCAGCACCATAATTCTTGGAGAATTCAGAGACCAATGGTTCCTTCCCCGTCCTCTCCCGCGGCGAGAGTGGACTTCTCGCCCTTTCCATATCCATGCCCTGCGCACCTCCAGGTGTACGACTCCTTGCTTGCTCGGGGTAGGGGAATTCTCAGTGCATGCCCACTGTAAAACACACCACCTTACTCGATGCATTATGCGTGGAAGCGGAGTCTAACAATGCCACACCAGCATAACATTCACCCGAATTTCCCGACAACGGCTACAGCGATGTCCATAACAAAGTTCATGGACGGGTCTGGGCCGTTGTTTTATGCACGTAGACATACAGTTGCACGAAGGGCATCTCAGCAAGGGCGGAAGGTGACAAGACGGCTCCGAAGGCACCCAACGGTCCCAAAACGTACAGCAAATACTCCAACAGAGGCTACCAGAAGTCTTGGGGCCGCATCGGGCTAGTCCGAGGCCGTTTATGAGCCGTTCCAGTCGGTCTTGGGCTGTCTTGGGGGATCCACGAGCTGTCTTGGGGGGCAAGCTTGGGGCCGCCTGTGGGATCCCTTGAGAGTTTCCTTGGGTGGCTTGCGGCATCGAAGGGCGATGATGCCTGGCAAATCACACTGACCCACTGCAGGGTTCAACGTGGTTGGCCTCGCGAATATCTCTTTGAAAGCGTGGGACGCCTCTTGGGGCCTCTCGCCCCGACGGCGTCCTTGAGTGCTGTTGGGCCGTCTGGGGTGGCCTTTTCGGGCCGCCTCGGGGACATTTTGGGGCCCTCTCTGGGCCGCCTTGGGGGCATCTTTGGCCAGTCCTCGGCCGTGCAGCACGCTGGGGGAACGCCGGGCAGGGGGCGGCGCGCGCAGGGGAGACGGGTGCAGAGGGGGATGTTTGCAGCACGCGGCAGTCGTCGAGGAGACACAAACACGGATTCAGCCCCGCGGAGCAGCGACGGGCCCCGCTTCCGCACAGAAGCGGCGCGCTCCGTCGCCAGATCGGGAGGCACGGGCGCCATTTCGCGGGGAAGCCTTTCCCGATCCATGGATCTGGCGACCGCGCACCAGATCCACGTATCCCTAATCCATCTGAGCGTGCGTCCGAAATAGCAACCCACTCTACATCACAGGGATTGTAGCACGCCCAAGCTCGTGTGCCATTTTTCCGTTTGCGAGTCCAGGTGTTGTTCGGGTATGATGCATGTTCTTCGCGGTCCCCCATTTCTTCTGCCCCCTGGTGCCCAGGACGTGCTCGTGCCGCAGTCGCATGTGAAGAATCGCCAGGCGGCAGTCCGGCAGCGGCCCGCCCACCTGGGTTTCGTGGTCATGGCGAGCGCTGCTGGCGCGGAGGCTGCCTTCGAGGCAGGCACCGAGCACGTGATCGGAGGGGCCACGATCATCTTGGAGCACTTCGACGAGACCCGCTGGAAGGCTTGATGGGCTTGTTTTCCGCCACCACCACCATAAGTTGGAGGGGGGAAGGAGGAGGAGGAGGAGGAGGAGGAGGAGGAGGAGGAGGAGGAGGAGTAGGAGGAGGAGGAGGAAGACCCCCTTCCCCTCCAACTCATGGTGGTGGTGGTGGACAATAGGCCCATCAAGGCTGGCTCGGACGAGCAGCACGTGCGATCGTGAGCAGAGCCGTGTTTTTAGCAGCGTTGATGGCTAATGATTTGCACAAAGTTTTAGCAGGAAGCCGCTTGTAGATGCTCTTCCTGCAGTCCGTGCGCCACCGCCCCTGCTCCTCCTCCTCCTCCCTCCTCCTTTTCTCCTCCCTTTTCTCCTGCTTCCTCTTCTCCTCCTCCCTCTTCCCCCCCTGCTCCTCCTCCTCCTCTCCTCCTCTCCTCCTCCTTCTCCTCCTCCTCCTCCTCCTCCTCCTCCTCCTCTCTTCCGCCCTCTTCTCCCTCAGCATCGTCTAACCGAATCCCATCCCCACGAGGCCATGGTAGCTCAGCCACATTCGCCCATTCACCCAGGTGTGCATAGTAGATCCCGCGAACAGCATACACACATTCATCCATACACACATACATACGTACATACATACATACTCACATACATACAAACATACATGCATGCATACACATACATACATCCACACATACACACATACATGCATACATACATCTATACATACATACATACATACATACATGCGTCCATACAGACACACACACATACATACACGCATACGTGCATACATCCACACAGCGATACATACACACATACATACCCACACATGCTTACATGCATACACAAATGAACGTATGCACGCACACTTGCATACACACATATATACACACATTCATAGGCACAACCATACATGCATACACATACATACACACGTACATACATACATCCATCCATACACACGCAAACACCGATACATTCATCCATCCATCCATGCGTAGAAGCACGCACCCACGTGTGCATACACACATGCATACACGCATACATGCATACATGCGAACATACACATACATACATCCATACATCCACATACACACAAACATACACACATACATATACACGCACCCACACGTACATGCACACTTGCATGCATGCATACACACACGCATCCACGCACATACAACCACGCATGCATACACACATATACATACATGCACACCCACATACACATGCATGTACGCATGCATACATACAACTATACATACATGCACACTTATACATACACATACATACACACACACACACCTACGTACGCGGATCCATACACATTTACACGCACGCATGCACGTATACACAATACATGCACCCATACACGCATATCTACATACGTACCCGCCACCATACAAACATGCCTACACAAGCATACACATGCACATCCATACACACAACCATACATGCATGTACACACATGCACACATACATCCACACACATGCATGCACTTATACAGACATTCGCGCATGCACACACACATACACACACTCATACAAATTTGCATACACACGTATACACATGTAGCACACACACATACGCGTGTATGTTTGCATATACACATATATTTAGACATAGCTATGTATGTCTCAGTGTGTATACACATATCCCACCTATGTGGCTAAGTTGGACATCGGGGGCCAAGGCTATGCCAGTGGGGATGTGGATAGTTCGAACTCGGGACGGGTCTAGGACGAGGAGCGATGCTACATCCGTTCCAGCGCGTTCCTGGATGCCCTCAGCGCTCCAGAACGCTCTGAGAAGGTCGCGGCGCCCGACCGATCCTCAAGCGCCGCTCGAACTCAGATATTTCCGATTTATCCTCACCCGAATTTGCCCTCGTAATGACTTTGCCTTAGGATAGGTTAAACGATTCTTCTTCGTTGATGTTAGCTGCTCCTCGTCTCTCTGCTCCTTTTGTTGGGCCATGCATAGGACATCCCCGCCGCGTGCGCCACCGTGGCCCTCGCGCGTCCCCTACGCCCACTTCCCAAAGATCAGCAATGGGGGAAGAGGATGAGGATGATGATGATGATGAGGAGGATGAGGAGGAGGAGGAAGAGGAGGAGGAGGAGGACGAGGAGGAGCAGGAGGAGGAGGAGGATGAAGAGGAGGGGGAGGAGAGGATGGGGGAGGGGGGATGGGGGAGGGGGAGTAGGAGGCGGAGGATGATGATGGGGAGGAGGAGGAGGTGGAGGAGGAGGAGGAGGAATACTAATCATACTGAAACTACAGTTACTAATAATAACATTAATAATGATAATATTAAGACGAATACTATTAATAATACACAATAAGAATACTAATACACATAATAAGAAGAACATGAGGATGATGCGGCGAAGGAAGACGAAGCGGAGGAGGAGGATGCGGAGGAGGAAGAGGAGGAGGAGAAAGCGTAGGAGGATGAGGAGGAGGACGAGGAGGAGGAGGAGGAAGAGGAGGAGGAGGAGGAATATGAGGAGGAGGAGGAGGAGGCGGATGATGATGATGATGATGAGGAGGAGGAGGAGGCGGAGGGGGAGGGGCGGGGGAGGAGGATCATGATGATGAGGAGGATGAGGAGGATGAGGAAGAGGAGGATGAGGAGGAGAGGAGGAGGGGAGGAGGAGGAGGATGAGGAGGAGGGAGGAGAGGATGAGGGAGGAGGAGGATGAGGATGAGGATGAGGAGGAGGAGGAGGAGGAATAGGAGGAGGACGAGGAGGAGGATGAAGAGGAGGAGGAGGAGGAAGCGGAGGAGGCGGAGGAGGAGGAGGAGGCGGAAGAAGGGGGATGAGGCGGGGGAGGAGGAGGAGGAGGAGGACGCGGAGGAGGAGGAGGAAGAAGGGGAATCATACTAATACTAATCACAAGAACATAATTAATGATAAACGTACTACGAATAGAAATATTGTTATTCATACTACTACTACTACTAGTACTACTACTACTACTACTACTACTACTACTACTACTACTACTACTAGTATTAATACTACCAGTGCTACTACTAATACGATTTCTACTACTAGCAATGGTCATATTGATGCCACCAAGAATAATACCAATATGAAGAATACTACGAACACGGATAATACGAACACCAAGGGTCACACTACTACGACTACTACTACTACGACTAATAAGACGAATACTGGTAATACGAAGCATGCGAATAACACGGGTATTACTGATAATACTATTACGAAGAAGCGCACGACTACTACTACTACTACTACTACTAATCATGCTATTACTACTAATACTACTACTGATACTAATACTACTACTAATGCTAATACGACTACTACTATTAATACTAATATTTCTAATACTACTAATAATACGAATAATACTGACACTACTACTGGTAATACTACCAACACTAACACTAGTAACAATACTAATTCTCAATACTAACAACACTACGAATACTATTACTATTACTAATAATGGTAATAATACTACTGATAATACTAAACATACTACTAATAATACTTATACCAATACTAATATTGATAATACTGATATTTAAACTATCACTAATGCTAATGCTACTAATACTAATACTAACATTCATACTACTAATAATTATGATGCTACTACTACTACTACTACTAATAGTAATACTAAGAATACTACTACTACTACTACTACTACTACCACTACTACTACTACTACTACTACTACTACTACTACTACTACTACTACTACTAATACTAATACTAATACTAATACTAATACTAATACTAATACTAATACTAACACGAATACTATTACTATTATTAACACTTATATTAATGATACTAATACTAATACTAACCATGATAATACATATACTACTACTACTACTGACAATACTGCTACTACTACTAATAAGCATCCTATTAATAATAACAATGGTAATACTAATAACAATAATGCTAATAACCGTAATACTTATACCAATGCAATTAATACGAATAACAATAGTAATACTATGATAATAATAATACTAATAATAATAGGAGGAGGAGGCGGAGGAGGAGGAGGAGGAGGAGGAGGAGCAGGAGGAGGAGGAAGAGGAGGAGGAGGAGGAGGAGTAGGCGGAGGAGCAGGAGTAGAAGCAGGAGGAGGAGGAAGAGGAGGAGGAACAGGAGGAGGAGGAGGAGGAGGAGGAGGAGGAGGAGGAGGAGGAGGAGGAGGGGAGGAGGGAGGAGGAGGAGGAGGAGGAGGAGGAGGAGGAGGAGGAGGAGGAAGAGGAGGAGGAACAGGAGGAGGAGGAGGAGGCGGAGGAGGAGCAGGAGGAGGAGGAGGAGGAGGCGGAGGAGAGGAGGAGGAGGAGGAGGAGGGAGGAGGAGGAGGCGGAGGCGGAGGCGGAGGCGAAGGAGGAGGAGAGAAGGAGGAGGAGGAGGAGGAGGAGGAGAGGAGGAGGAGGCAGGGGAGGAGGAGGAGGAGGGGGAGGAGGGGAGGAGGGGGAGGAGGGGAGGAGGGGGAGGAGGAGGAGGAGGGGAGGAGGGTGGAGGGAGGGGGAGGAGGGGAGGGGGGGAGGAGGGGGAGGAAGGGGAGGAGGAGGAGGAGGGGGGAGGAGGGGGGGAGGAGGGGGGAGGAGGAGGAGAAGGAGGAGGAGGAGGAGGAGGAGGAGGAGGAGGAGACGAGGAGGAGGACGAGGAGGAGGATGATGAGGAGGAGGAGGAGAAGGAGAAGGAGGAGGAGGAGCAAGGGGGAGGAGGAGTGGGAGGTCCTGGTCATGACGGCGCCAGAGGCTGTCAAGCCGGGGTCCGCCGACGAACGGGAGGCGGAGTGGTCGCATTTGCCTTTCCTCATCGCCCGCCAAACCGGTACCCTCCCTGGCCACTCTGACGCTGTGGCCGGGGAGACTCGAGCGGGTGAGCGGGAAGAGCCTGGGGAGGAGACGGAGAAGCACGAGGACGGCAGGGAAGGACGAGGACCACGTTGGCGTAGGCGGCACGAGTGTGCCAGGCCTCGGGCTGCAACGCGATCTCGCTGGAGCCCAGGGCGGATGCCCGGGGCAAAAATTCCCCTGGCCAGCTCTCGTGCTCCGCGCGCCAGGCCCGGCCATAAGGCACGCCCCTGGCCCGCCCGACCCGCCGGTCAGGGTCCGCCCGCTTGCGCGGGTAAGGGCTCGATCGCTCGCCCGTTCCCAGCTGGGCATTGCCAGTGGCTTCTCATTGATCGGCGGCGAGTTCAGGGGGGAAGTGAGGAGGAGAGGGCCTTCTCAGACGGCTCTGAAGCCCCCCAGCCTTCGGGAAGTTTTCTAAGCCTTCGCCGAAGTCACAGGAAGCTTTTCTCAGAAGGCTCGACGGCTTCTGAGAAGCCCCGCCGCCTTCCGAGAGGGCCTCCTCCCTCTCACTTCTCCCCCATCTCGCTCGCCGCTGGATTGAGACCCTGGTTCGTAAGACCCCTGGCGGGTGACAGGGTCCCTGCAGATCAGGGGCATTACAGTTTTTTCAGGAGGCGATGGGGCCTCGCCCTTCGATCGGGGCGCCTGCTCTCACACCTGCGCCGTGTCTCCACTTCTACTCACGCACCTCAGAGCACGAATGCCCTGGCCTCGTCTGAGCTCATTTGCTGGCTCCCAGTTCCAGCTACGACCAGACCACCACCAACACAAGGCGGCATGCAACTCAAGTTAGAGTCGGTTTTTATCTGTGTCTCTCTTTTTCTCCTGAGTGAAGTCTGATCGCGTCGCCTCTGACATGTAACAGATGCCACTGCCGTGTATTGTCCGTCGCTCATTTCACACACACACACACTGTTTCCTTCTTATCAGCTGCGTGATTCCGATGCTTCTGCCCCCTTCTTCTCCTGCTCCTAACGCTCCTCCAACTCATGCTCCCACCACCTTTTCCCCCAGTTATGTTCTTACAGCATCTGCTGTATCTCCTGCCATTCCTCCTTCTTCAGTGCTACACTTCCACATCCCTCCTGCTCCCGATCACATGTCGGCCTCCACGTGCACGCCTCTCCCCGTCGCGTCGCAGACATATTCCTGCTCGGGGAATTCACGCTCCTGTTTGTACTCCGATTCTTGCCGTTCGCACGCTTGCTCTCGCTGCTGCCGGTGCTTGTGCTCGTGGATATGCGAAAGGGCGCGTTCTGTGGACGCTGGGGCGTGGGGGGGTCAACCGGGACGGGGCCCCCCCCTGAATTGCGAGTGGGGGGCTGCTCGAACTGCCCCCCTCCCCCTCCCCCCTCAAAGGGGAGGGGGGGGGACTCGAACCTGCGGGAGCCCTCCCCCTCCTCCCCACCCTGAATTGCAGGGGGAGGCGGTTCGAACTGCCCCCCCCCTCCCCTTCCTTCCCCAGTAGCAACTGTCGATCGTCGATGGCGAGCGCCAGCGCTGGCGTCAGCGCCGTCGGGCAATGACGACGACGATCGAGCCTTAGTAGGATGCTATTAAGGTTGAATTGAGCCCTAGTAATATTGCGTTAGAGCTGGGTCGTGCCCTAATGGGATCTGATTAGAATTCGATCTAGGTATACTCGGATTCTTTTTGAGACGGATCGAGCCCTAGTAGGATGCACTCAAAGCTGGATCCAGCGATGGTAGGTTTCGAGTATAGTTGGATCGAGCCCGACTAGGAGGATGTTCGTAAATTCGGATCTAGCTACAGTAGGATTCTACGAGAGCCTGATCGATCACTCATAGGCTTCTGTTGCGGGCCCCCTCCCTCGCTTGGACAGGGGGGAGGTGGGCCCCCCCCAGTTCGACACCCCTCCCGCCCGTTTTCCGGGCGCTTCACATGTTTTAGGGACCCCTCTGTCCCCGGTCCCGACGTGTCCAGCGATCTCTACCTTCCCCCGTTCTCCCCTTTTTGGGCCTCCTCGGAGGCCCTCGTCGCCACCGCCGTATTCGCTTCGAAATTCTGGCCAGAACGCACCCTGGCAGAGGTCCAGGGAGTAGCGGTATCGGTTTCCCATTTCTTCCAAGCAAGCGTATTCGAAACGTGTTTTTTTTCGAATCTGCCCACGCATCCCATGCTGCACCTCCGGATCGGGAGCGGATCAATTTCCAATTTTGGGTTCGAGTCTCGAGGACATTTTCGTGATTAAGCACGTAGTTCGGGCCGACGAATTCTTTTTGGGCCTAGCCGTGTGATCCCCCAAGAGGGAAACGGTTTGTTGGCTGGCTAGTTTGTTGGCTGATTTGTTTGCTTGTTTGTTGGCTGGGTGGTCGTTCGGTCGGTCGGTTGCTTAGTTGATTGGTTGGCCGATTGATTGGCCAGTTGACTGGTTGGTTGTTCGGTCGGTTTTTTTTGTGGTTGGATGATTCGTTGGTCGGCTGGTCGGCTGGCTGGTTGGTCGGCTTCGTAGCTGAAAGGCTAGCTGCCTGGATGGTTGGCTGGCTGGCTGGTTGGTTGGTTGCCTCTCTCCGTCCTGAGTGTGTGCGGAGCAGGAGGCAACACATGAACTATAGACTTCGGCCGTTGAGGGACCGAGTTGAACAATACAACAATTGTTTGCCAGTGTGGACGTCAAGCAGTGGGTCATTAGACAGTGGAGGTGAGAGGTACGTGGTGCAACATATATGGTGTAAGCTAGGTGGTCCAAGCTCTGTGGTATAAGTTCTGCGATACAAGCTTCGTGGTGTAAGCTAGTGCGTGTAAATAATCATTGTCGACTCATGAGCTGTCAACTCTACTGCTCGCGCAATCATCCCACCCACCCGCAAATTGGTTTGCAAAACCCATGCGGCGGTGATTGCGATGACTGCTCGGCTATGGCTTGCGCATGTATGCGACCTCGCTGGCGCGCGCCAGCTCGCGCGCAGAGTGGCCAGTTGGTTCGGCACAACCGATGCGGTCGCCAAGGCGCTTACCGAGCGCTTCTCTGAGGCTGCGCTTGCGCGCGGGCGCTTCAATGTGGATCGGCGGTTCGGGCGGGCATGGTATCATGATGACGACCCGACAACGGCGGCAACGTTTATGATAGTAGCGATGGTGGTGGCGATGGCGACGATAACGACGGGCAGGCCAATGACGGCGCCGATGCTGGCAACGCCGTTGATGATGACGACCGTATATCGATGTTGAAGTTGCTTGCGTGATGACGACAGCAATGGCGGCGATTGTCGATGACGATGACGCGATGCGGTGGCGCTGATGAGGGTAATGGTGAAGAAGTGCGCGCGCGGAGCTGCAGGAGACCCGGAACATTTCAACTACGAAATGTGGTTCCACTATTGAAGCGCGTCCAAAACAGGATCTTGACACGCTCGCGCGGCGGCGCGCGCGTGTGGCTAGCATCATGCGATTGGATAGGCATATGCGCGCTGGACGCATGCTGGATCAACACGGCTGCGCCTCGTGGTGAGCTCGATAGCATCAGACGATCACCACATGATTTCAGCAAGTTCATGCGGGCAGAATATTTGCAAGATCTGCGACGCAACGACCTAAGGGTTCCTGATGTTTTCATTTTGCAATGTTTGCGGAACTTGTGTGTTTGTCGGATTTCGTCATGTGCGCGCACGCGCGTGTACGTTCTTTTGTGTTTTGTTTGTTTGTTTGTTTGTTTTTTTGGCCAGGGAGTCTTGACAAATGACTCTTTGCGAGTGTGCGCGCATAATCTAATCCGACAGTCACGAAGGGGGGGATGCTGGGCCTGCTTGGGCATGATACGAGTTCTATTGGGCAATGAACGATGGGTCAGAATGGTACGGAACTTGTACTGCCCCAGGAGGTACTGATAACCCTTCGCTGGACGGTGATCGAGTTTATGCTTTGAGAGGAAAACAGCGTACGTTTTTAACTGTGAGTTGTCGATTCCATTTCTCGCACAATCACCCCACCCTCCCGCCCACAATTTGTTTTACAAAAGCCGTGCGGTCGCGACTACGGTGACTATTCGGCACTGTCTGGCGCGTCTCTGCGGCCGCGCTAGCGCTTGCAAGCTCGCGCGCAAAGCGGTCAGTTGGCTTGGCACAACCGCTGCGGCCGCGATGGCGCTGGGAACTTCACTTCGTGTCTCTGAGGCCGCGTTGGCGCGGGGGCACTTCAGTGCGGGTCGGTGGTTCGGGCGGGCGCAGTATCGTGATGACGTCGATAACGGCAGCAATAATGATGATACTAGAGGTTGTGGGCGACGATGACGAGGACGACGGGCGGGCCAATGACGGCGCCGATGCCCGTGACGACGATGACGATGATGTTCATGTGTCGGGTGTGAATGTGACTGACGGGTGATCGCGGCAATGGCGGCGATTGACGGTGACGCTGACGGCGGGGATGCGGCGGCTCCGATGAGGGTGATGGCGAGGACATGCGCGCGCGTGCGGAAATTCAGTTTTTTTGGCAAATTGCTTGTCGAAGCACACGTATATTTTTGGTGCTGTTGAACAGGTCAAGGGTGATATGCTGATACAGCCATTGGTTTTGGAAGGATTTCAACGCGCGCGTGGCCGCGTTCGTGTGGCCCGCGTGGTACTCTGTGATGCGAGTTCGCGCACTCGGCACAGTCGGGGCCGACGCGAATGCACAGCGTGGTGAGATGAAACTGCGGGTTCTTGAGGATATTCGTAAATTCGCATGGCGGGTCCATGATTTTAGCAGATGTGCGCGGGCAGAACATATTCGCAATGTGTCAGCTGGAAAGCCTACGTGCTTCTGATCGTGTCGTGCTGTTCTGCTTGCGCAGCTGCTGCGTGTGGTATGATTTCGACACGTGCACGCGTGTTGGCTTCGTGCATGCTTTTGCAAAGGTTGTTGAAAAGCATGTGTTCAAAGATAAACGAGTGTGCGCGCATGGTACATTTTGACAGGGATGAAAGCGGGGAGCGATAGCTGGTTGACTGGGATGGTACTGGGGTGGTGTGGATTCAGACGGTAAGCGAAACATGAAACACAATCCGGTGTAATTTGCAGTGCCCCATGGGGGGTGGGGGCGGCGACAAATCCGGGTTCGGGAGGGGGTCGAATGGAACCCGCCGCGTTCTTCATCGAAGCGAGGATCGATGTGGTGGAAGCCTTGCGGGCGCCCACGAGGCGCCCACAGGCGGTCGCCCACGCGGCGCCCACGGGCGGCCACCGACCGGGCCACCTGGCGACACCCTGGCACTTCCACCCGCACGGAGCGCCCCGTGAGGCGCTCACGGGTGGCAGCCGACCAGCCACCAGTCGAAGTTTCGGCACGCCCACCCCAGCGCACGGGGTGCCCACGCGGCGCCCACGGGCGGCAACCGCAAGGGCACCGGCGTCATTTCGGCGCGCCCACCTCACGAATGGGGCGCTCACGAGGCACCCGTGTGGGCAGCAGCCGACGTCGAGCGAA